CATAAGAAGGTTGATCTCGCTTAATGTTGCGACTAACAATAAGTTAAATTTTTTGAAAACTTAAATTAATCGAAACACGTAATATCTTTTACACTCTAAAACGTGTTATCTTCGAATTCGCCCGTATAACGTGTGGAATGTAAGAATGTGAGCATGGGAACGAGAAAGCGTATATGTATTGCAATGGATTCCAGTGTCGATGCTTAAAATGTTAATAGAGTAATATTTATGTAAATGGAAAGTTATGTGTCTCCAGAATGTAGATTTTATCCCGATTATCGAATCAAACGTAACGTATATTAACATATTAGTTCTATTAGCATACAAGACTTACTTTCCGAAATAAAAATTCTGCTCTGATCTATTTCAAATTCCTTGAAGTTCTACTTTTTATTCTAACACAGTCATTAGGTATTAAAATAAACATTTCGTTTTGCTAATTGCAATCTTCATATTTATTAGCTACTGTTAACTGATTTTAACGTTAAATCATATTCATTCAAAACAATTTCTCGGTCTCTCTCGACGAAATTGAAATTCCACTTTAATCTACTTTAAACCCCGAAGCTCTACTTTTAATTCTAACGCACATGGAAAGAACGATTTTGCTGAAAGGTCTAAAAATTTTGCTAGAAACAGATTTGTAAATAATTTTTTTGTTAAAGCATCAAAATAATTGTTATTGAAATGTTAAAACTGATAAGTACCGATATTGTGCTATAAAACCATGTTTTGATATTCTAGCAATCATTTTGACTTTTGCACAAAATTATTTTGATTATTGAACAAAAATTATTTAATTTCAGATCTGGATTCAGCAAAATTGTTCTTCACCCAGAAAAAATATTCTAATTATTAAGTGAAATTTCCTCTAATCCCATATTCTAAGCGAAAACTTTTACAGAAATAGTATTCCTCTTCTAATAAAGTGAACTGTTCATCTAAAATCTATTAGATATTATTTTTCGGTTTTCCTTTTGTATTAAGAGGAATATGTTTATTTCAAGCGGAATGCCCTTTTACGCGCGATACGAGTAACACGAAAAGTAATGTGCATCGCTACGTTCTGCCGTGACGATTGATTGAAGTGTTGCGCTGCATTTGCGAAAACAGACGCAGTAAGGCTGCATTCCGTTATTCATTGCAAATACTGAAAAACTACAGTATAAATCATATGTAAATTATAAATATAGATTTACAGTACAAGACTTGTACTGTAAATGCAAGACGAAATTATTCTAACTATTAGAATATTGTGCCACAGAATATTTTCCTCTTAATTTCAGAGGATTCCTCTTGAGGCCATCATATACAAGAATAAAATCCTCTAAGATTTAGCGGATTCCACTAATATTAAAATTATTTTCTTTTTGGGATGTTTCCGTGCAGTCTTTGATACATTAAATTAAGCATTTCGCTTTGCTAATCATGATCTTCAATATTTTTTTTAAGCCATCTCGTTAAATGATTTCAACGTCCAAATGATATATTCATTCGAAACAATTTCTCGGTCTCTCTCGACGAAATCGTTTCTAGCGCGATGTGCGTGGCTGCCATCATGAAGGCGTGACCGCGAATAGAGCGCGGATTAATTGAGGATAACTCGCGAGAGAAAGAACGAGAAAATAGAAAACACGCACGCGGAAGAAAATAGCACTTGCAATTTTTCGTAGCGCACGCGACGACTTGTGGCTAGCGGCCGACCACGGGCGGGAGGGGGCGGGGGGGGGAAGGCCCCCATATGGTACGTGCAACCTACTTTAATTGCATCGGCGAGTAACGAGGAAAAGTGGAGCAGCGTTACGAATGGCCGAACTCTTATCCTCATTGTGTCTCTCTCTCTCTCTCTCTCTCTCTCTCTCTCTCTCTCTTACGAGGATATTTATTTATCGAACACGCGCGCGTGCCTCTGATGTGTCTCTCATTTTCGCAAACTCTCGCGTCGCGCCGAGGTACACGAGACACGTAATAATTGTCGGCGCGTAATTTGCGATTCAAGGCGCCTCCGTGCGCGATTTGAATGTAAGCCAGCGATGCGTCCTAAAAAAAAAAAAAGGGAGAAGGATCCTCCATTGGTTTCCCTCATTTGCAATCGTGCCTCTCGACGCTGCGCGAGGCGAATTTTGCTCACGTATATTCGCGTGTGTAATTCCCGCTCACGGGAATTAATCTCGCGGCAAAAATCTTCGGTCGCTCGCCGCGTATCTCCGCAATGGAAATACATAGGTATTGATTCGCGAGTGGAAAACGCCGAGTCAAACCAAACGGACGAGATCTCTTTTTTTTTCTTTCCGCGAATTATCACTTAATAGAATCGTGTTTTTACTCTCCCGTGCGAGGGTGTCTCTCTTCGGGCTCTCCTCCGTCGAAGTGTGGGTTTATCTTTCCTCCGCAGTTATCCAAACAGGCGGACCGCGCGCGCGTCGGCATTAGCCGTAATGACGTTTACGGTTTTCTCAATAATCTCGGAAATCACTTTGCGCCGATTTTATTGCCCGACCGTTATTCTGTCGTTACAACTTACGCGACGCGACGCGACGGGACGAGAGCTCGAATATTCAGCGCGGGGGAGGAGGGAGCGAGGAGGAAGAGGGGGGAGGGGCACGATCGCGAAAGTAAGAGTCGCCTAATATCTCGGAGGATTGGCGATTTCTACGATGTCTCCCCTGCGATTGACTTGTGAGATTCGTTCGGACGAAAACAATAATTGCAGAGCGACTTTCACGTTATAGCTCCCGTCGCGCCGCCCGCGCCACGGCCGTCGATTCGCGGGATTTGCTCGATAAATTGATCTTTGTCTGCATCGTTTGTCACATTTGTCGCATTTGCATGATTGCACTTTTATATGCGCGTCGAAAAATAATTTCTCGTCAGTAAAAGAAGAGGGGGGGAGGGACAAATATAGTGACGGATTTTTTCCTCTCTCTCTTACAATCTAATTTCAAGTTTACAAGATATGATTTTTCATTAAAAGAGTACTTTCCACTTTCAAATATACAAAGACCTTAATTAGAGTTTTCATAAGTCAGGTATGCGGGCTAGATTTTCATAAAAACTGAAATCTACATTTGTCACTATTTGCCTCATTCTGTGGGTAAATAGTGACACCCTATGCGACAATTACAAAATACATATAATTCTTAAATCCTAATCGATCTTTCTTTTGACATTTTGCTTAGATAAGGTAATTTATATTAATTTCTATACTCTCCCATATGTAAATTTGTATTTATTGATAAATAATAGTAGTAACATTATTTGCTAGTATTTTTGATTAAAAATCATATTCATTCTAGATCCTGCCTTGTAACTAATCTCATATTATCCCAAATGAATTAGAAAAATCATATTCAAATATTAAAAAAACTTTTCGATTTGTTATTATTTACCCAACTAAAAATTGTCATTATTTGCCCCAGGAGCTAATTTTTCCTTTACTGAGAGAAATAAAATTAATACACAAGCATAGGAATTATATCAAAATAGAGGCAAAAGATTCCGTATGACATAGAATAGGTTAGATCTCATTCAACGATTCAGCAATTAAGAAAATATAATTTCAAATATCAAAGAAAGATCCAGGTCTTACCTGATTTCACGAATGCAAAATTTTAAATTTCTCCGCTAGCTATATTTGGCTTTTGATTTTTACTGTTTTTTCAGAAGATGATTAGATGCTTGAGGCTTGAGAACTGTCTTTCTATTAACGAGTAGTGGTAAAATAGACGCAGGAAAGAGGAAAAATTTAAAGTGACATTATTTGCCCCCCCCCCTTCTCTTTCACGAAGGCTCAAATCATTCTGAATAATTGTAATCCTCGAATTTGTCCGAACAAATATAAGTACCCGCACGAATACCGCGCGGATGTGATTTATCAAGAAGAAAAAGGAGGATTCGCCTTGGGCATTATTTGTTTACGCGCCATTGGTATACAATTGCCAATGTTGTTACTCACCGTTTGAACAAGTGAAGACGTTTGTGGTAGGAACCTGCAACAGAAAGCGCGTTTATTTAGCGCTGATAGTTAACACTGGATCATAAATTAAATAATAGCTGCAATAATCGAGATCTAAATCGCAGTAGCATCGAAGGTACGTTCGAGTTCGCATAATACAAAGTAAATTAAAACTTTTCTGAATTATTGGCTAGGGGAGCAAGTTATCATTGTAATTAGATTTATAACAGGTAATAAGTATATTAAAATTTCTTCGCAAATTGTTTGTTTCAACGTTGTAGATGCGAGAAGCAGATTGAAATCGCGGAATAATTAAAATAGCTTCTTTAAATTGTGAAATAATGAGGCAAATTATAATAACGATATTTAACAAATTATATTTAATTAAAAAATATTATATATATTATACGTCAAAAATGCTATCAAATATTAATATTAAAATTAAATGTTATTAGATATTATAACGTTATACTTTCTCTGTTGTTATTTCTTTTATACCGATAGATCAAGAGATTTTGAGATTTTCGCAGAAAAAAGATGATGATCGAGTAAATCTCAAATCTTTTGTATGGTTACTTGATCATAAATTGAGTGATAGTTGATAGCTAAGCTCAAAAATCGCAAAGTATCGACATTGAGTTCGCATAATACAACATAAAGCAAAACTTTTCCGAATTATTGGCTATAATAAAGTAAATTATCATCGCAATTAGATTTAACAAATAATAAGAATTTAATATCAAAATTTCTTCGCAAATTGTTTTTTTCAACGTTATAGACACGAGAAGCAGATTGAAATCGCGGAATAATTAAAATAGCTTCTTTAAATTGTGCCATAATGAGGCAAATTATAGTAAAAATATAAAACAAAATATATATTTAATAAAAAAATATCATATATATTATACCTATAGGTTATAAACGTTATATATAACATTATATATTTTCTCTTTGTTATCGTTTCTCTTATATCGACAGATCAATGAGACTTTAAGAAAAAAAAAAAGATGTCTGAGATCGTAAATCTCAATTTTTTTGTGTGATTACTTGATTATAAATTGAGTGAGTAGTTGATAGCTATAAGCTCTAAATCGCAATAATATCATCGGTATATCGAGTTTGCATAATACAAAGTAAAATCTTTCCTAAATTATTGGTTTATAGTGGAATAAATCTTCATTGCAATCAGATATTTAACGAATAAAAATATCAATTAAATTTTTTTGATGAATTGTTTGTTTCAGCAGTTTATTGTGAACATTGGAAGCGGATTGAAATCGCGAAATAAAATTGAAAAAGCTTGTTTAAATTGTCACAGTGAGGCAAATTGAAGTAACGATATTTAACAGGTAATAAAAATACTCTGTAAATAAATGTTATTTTTTTTTATGTTACGTCGATGAATCAATGAGACTCTTCATTTCAAAAACGATAACCGCGGGATCGTAAATCTCGAATCCCTTTCGTACACGATTACTTCACACCTAGGAAGTCACAGTTTTTGCGCGGCGGGTTTAACTGTGGAAAGGCGCCCGGTTAGGCCCCACAGGCATGCTAGACGCATTGTTATCCGCGGCGGGAGAAAGTGAAGATGCAATCTGTCCAACGATCTTCGTTTCTCGCCGTCCGTCTCTCAAGAGCACGGAAAGTATCCGCTATATAAGTACTCGCTCGCGAACGCGAACTCGGCCTCGGACGCGTTCCCCCGGCCGTCTTGTAAGTATATTTCGACGCTGCTTAACGCGCGCGTATCAGTGATATAACGGTGACTACATTCCTGCGAGAGGTGCGAGTTTGTGCCAGCTGTGTAGAAAGGCTGCGCCCTCGCGCGCATTCCCGCGCGCTCGAACACGCTCGAAAATCGAGTCTCTCCGCGTGCAACTCGATCTATATATCCACGTCATTTAGGTATTCGTAACATGCTGTGATAAGAGCGATAGATATCGATTTTACGATCGTCGTAAAATCTATCGTGAGTTCGGTAGACAATTATGCAACCGAAACGCTATATGTATAATAAGGAGAGGCAATCGCTAAAATTTTCAAACCAATGTAGAAAGTACCGAAAATAATAATTGAATCACGGGAAAAAAATTACTGTTGCCGCAACATGATAATTGTGATAAATTTCGCCCATCGATTTAAAAGGGTTATAGGAACTAAAATACTTTGGAAGTGACTTATATATGGTTAACTGAACTCTCAGCCTCAATGTTGTGACATGCAACTATTATATCATATACAGTTACCAAACTAATTGTTGTCCGGACAATGCGTTAATATATTGATCATTTCTAAAAATTCAAGATATAGCAACTTTGCTAAAAATTATCGTAACGAGATTTTTAAAAAAGCACTTTACAATTTAAAATCTCCATTTTTTCAAGTTGTTACTTTTGAAAACTGTAAACCTCGTTTTTGTGCGAGTTTTATTTCGGGCCGTGGAACTTTGCAAGTTTTTTGCAAAGTTCCGAAATTTTTGGAAAAATTTTGCAATTTGCCACACCTTCATTTGCATCTATGCGGCTTCGAAAAAACTCAGTTAGTCGTCTTCTAAAGTATTACTTTGAAAAGTGGAGATTTCCAGCTGTAAAATGTTTTTTTGAAAATCTTGTTACATTTCTGACGAAGTTGCTCTATCTTGAAATTTTTTTCACCGAGTTACAGTCACGAAACAGTCCGGACACAGGTATTGGGAATTTATTTTTTGCTTTAACTTTATCAAATATTGTAATTTTATAAAGATAATAATATTTAGAAGTGAAAATTATTCCTAGTAATACATTTTCACTAAAAGTATTAGTCAAATTTATTATTAATTTAAATATAGATTTAATCAATAAAATAAATAAAATCACATCAAAGTAAAAAAGATCATTTTTGCTTCAAATTTGAATAACTCGGTGAAAAAAAATCGTACAACGCTCAACAAAAAAGCAAATTAAAGAAAAAAATTCATTCTTTCGAAAACTGTACACCTCGTTTTAGTGCGATTTTTATTTCGGGCCGTGGAACTTTACAAAGTTAGGAAAAAATTTTGCGATTTGTCATATCTCCATTTGTATCAATGCAGCGACTCCGAAGAAAGTCAGTTAATCATTTTATAAAATATCAACTTGAAAAATGGAAATTTCAAGCTGTAAAATGCTATTTAAAAATCTCGTTAAGATAATTTTTGACAAAGTTGCTCTATTTTGAATTTTTAGAAATTATTGATATATTAACGCATTGTCCGGACAATTAGTTTGGTGACTGTATATCTCTCAATCATACTATATTTGTTATACAGGTCATATTAGAGAGATAACAATAATACTTTGGTTGAGGCAACTGCACATATATGAAGATATTCTAACCGAATGTTATTTTTATCCAAAGCACTACGGTTGTGACAACCGTATATTGATGAGCATACACCTTAACAGATGTACGCCATGTAACATCAATATAACTTAAATTCACATGCATTTCTTTTCCAAACGTGTAGAGAATATTGTTGTAACATCCGCAGTAATTTTTTCCGTGTTAACGTAAATTAATTAAATGAACGTGTGTATATAATTCCAGAGCAAAGTGGAATTAGAATCCACGTTGCGAAATGCGGGCTCTCTAAATTTCGCTTCGTCCTTGCCCCGCATTTCCACAAGGCTTAAATTTTCCACAGCCGGACAGATTGCTATATAGTTTTAGAGAGGAACGTTTCTCGGAGGAGCGAGAAGCCGTTCGTCAAGGCATCACGCAGAAACGCTCGAGCCGCCTCGGTCGGAATGCCTGTGTATGTACCTACTCGCGGCGCGGACTTGCATTCTCGCTACATTCTCTTCTCTCCCGCGTTATACGTATCGGGCTACTAGTTCTGTAGTTAAAATATCGCATCTGTATATGTGATCGTATGCGCGCGGCACCTCTTGGCGCGGCGTACGTATGTATATGTACGCGCGTACGCGCCTGTGTGCGCGCTGAAATTCACTTTCACCTCACATATGCCACATCTCCGTGGAAACCGAGCCCCGCTAAACTCCTACGGAGTCTCTATCTATCTCTCTCTTTCTCTCTCTCTTTCTTGGGCTCGCCCTGCCGCGGCCGCCGACATACCAATTACTTCATAACCCACGGGTTGAGACCGCGCGCAGGAATCTCGGCGTAGGGCCTTTATATCGCGCGCGCGCGCGGGCGCTCGCCCTCGCGTGTTTCCTTCCTTGACCGCCTCACCCGCCGCGGGCAGGGCCGCGCGCAACCTTTTTCTTCGTCGCAGACGAAATTATCCTCTCGCCCTCGAGTATACCTACTTAGGTTTCCCCGCCGCCGCGGCGTCCGGCCGTGATTAAGTTAAAAACCGGTCGAGATGTTTTGATCATGTTCGGGCCAGGAGAGGGGGAGAGAGAGAGAGAGAGAGAGAGAGAGAGAGAGAGAGAGAGAGAGAGAGAGAGAGAGAGAGAGAGAGAGAGAGAGCGAGAGAGAGAGAGAGAGAAAGGGCAATGATTGGGGCGTCACAAACGCGAGGTGACGGTAAATAGATGAGCGATTAATTCAAAATTTTCTATAGATGCACGAAGCGCAATGTGTTAAAGGAGGCCGATCGACGTTATCGAGTTGAGCCTCGTGCTAAATCTCGATCGCGAGTCGAGCACAAGTCCGCGTTGTTAAATTGAATTTTGTGAAAAAATTCAGCATCTGTGAGGAAGTTCGCCCCGAAGTTTCCCAGCAAGAAATGATTAATCAAAGTGACATTGAATCTCGACGTCAAATTGACGCTGATGAGTCGATAAACGGTCGATATTTTATGATGTTACTGGGTTGATATTTTTATCATCTTTGATATCTCATCGTAATTGTTTCTACGTTGATTCAGCAATTGCGAATATTTCTATAAGACTTTCATCGTCTCAATCCGTTCTTTCGGCCAATTTTACATAGAATTGACGCAAAATTGGAAAGCATTATATATATTATTCCCAGCAAACACAACTTATAACTACAATATTGCAGCACATTGTAATATTTCTGCAATATAGCTGAAATGTTATAATGTTAATTATAATCTGTGCAATTATAATCTGTGTTTACCGAATTCGATGCATGTCCGATGTGGAATTGGCCAAAAGCTAAAAGGAATCTATCTATATATATTGCAAATTAATTAACAGGGTGTTGGGTAAGTTAATATTTTTTTAAAACTAAATTAAGTTAATGACTTATGAAATTAATTTAATTAAGTCAAAAGTTGTATAATCAAAAAACTCAGTTAAATTTGCATTAAGATTAAATTAACTAAAGTTACATTAAAAGTTAATTTGGAAAACATCATTTATATTAAATTGATGTCGTATTCTTTTTTAAATGAGATTACTCTAAATAAACACCTATTACGATGTAAATGATGATATAAATTTAATATTTTATTTTTGTAAATTAAGTTTATAAGAAATAATACAAACTATTGTCTTTATATAAAACATTATTTTTCTTTTAAATAAATAAATTTTTAACTTGCTATTAGAAAAAAGTTAATAAGTTAAAATTTATATATAAGTGTTTAAAAATAACTGTAGTTAAAGTTAACAGTTAACCTGTTTAAAATTAACTTGTAAGTTAAGTTAAAAGTTATTAACTCTTAAACTTTATCATCTAACTTTTCACTAGTTACTATATACTCAATCCTGTTAATTGATGCAAGAACAATTATAATAAGGTCGAAAATGGCAAAAATATCAGACGATATTCAACTCGTTGATCATTCATCAACGCATCGACATCGAATCGACATTGTGTCGATTTATTGTTAGCATTTCTGGCTGGGTCGTCTCTAAATTTGGTTCGAGCTATAGCTCGACAACTTCGCTTAATACGCGAGGGTGATCGTGAATAATATCGGTTAGCAGTGCGGAGGCGCGCGGTTAACTCCCTGCAAGCATGGCTTAACCCGCGCGGCATTTCGCTTCGAGCTTTACGCTATATAACTCGCGGCTCGATAACGTATAAGTACACTTGAACCATCGCTCACCTGAGACTCCGTTAGCTGAAGATGATGGCACAAGAGGACGGCGACCCAAACGGCCGCCAATTCTCTTATCAGCATATTCCTGCAACAGACAAGAAGAGGCCCCACGTGAATATACTATTTATACGGCGTCGATCTTATTATAACGTCGCGCGCGCGCGCGGCTTGTAATTATTAAACGCTCGCGGACGTCGCGGCGGTCGGGCACGGAGTAACGGAGGCGGCGCGCGATTTTTCTATTGAAAACCTCTCCATCTTTCTCGCGGAATTTCTCGCCGATGACTCTATGTGCGCGCGTCTTCGTCATCGGTGCATTTAGCATCGCGGACGTACATACGTGCGGCGTTTCGTCGCGCGGCAGGATCGGCGATTGTATACGCATCAATAAGTACCATGACGCGAGTCTCGAACTCGCGCCGCGAGTTGAGGTTGAGCCACGGTCATTCGCGAGACTCGACGACGTTTCTTTTTCTTCTCTCCCCCCCCCTCCTCCCTCCTCCTCACCTCTTCGTCGAACGTTCGTCATAATCGCGAAAGAACGCGGAAGATACTCAGCGCGTCGTTTTCTGTACGCTGCGGCGCGTTCGAATACACACCCGGCGTTCCCATAAAATTCCTTACGGTTTCTGCGCAGGCTGAATTGTGGCAGCCACGGAGCGAAGCGCGCGCGGGGCCGCGCGAGCCGGCATACCTCGCCCCGCGAGTGATCCAACCGGGTGCCGCGCGCGCGATAACCGTCGCGGGGATTATATTATTGATGACGTTACGCTGCACCGCGCGCGCGCGCGCGCACCAGTGTGTCTATTAACCCTTTGCGCGGACCGACGGACTTTATTTTTTTTGTTGTTGTTGTCGCGCCAACCCCACAGCGTGCAGAGGTCGTCCGAGTGTCGCGCCGCTCCTCGTTCGCGTTCGTCGCGTCCCGCAAACGTGCGATTATTTCAAAAATATAGCGACTCTCGATAGATTTTAAGGTGATACTTTACTTAAATTGAGTTGCGACAGAAATATCTAATTTTGTTTATATAATGAATATGAAGTGCCGAACTTGACGTGCGCAAAATTTTTTGGGGGGGGATTACCGGTGAAATAAGAGAGAGAGAGAGAGAAAAAAAAGTTGAAAATTTAACTTTTTACGTGTATGTACGTATGTAATAGTGACAGATTGGGATCGAAGACACTTTTTTGACTAATTGCACGCAAACGAGACGGCAGAATTTTCTGAAAAACGAGATTATGATAAATTAAAAAATTACGATTTCAATAGTCACAAAAAAGTAATGAAATAGGTCCATTCTGAAAAGATATTTAACGTTGAAACGGAAAAATATCACATAATTACTTGAATTACCTCACACACGGCCTGTCAGTTTAATTTCCTTTTAGTGATTTTATTCATCACTTGTGCATGTACTAAATACCGTTCGTTTCGTATTATTTCATTAGATATACACGCGTAGTTTTAATATTTTATCCAAATTATGCAAATATTTATGATTTTGGGATGGGTCCTCGTAAAACATCCCTGCAAATTTTCGGCACTTTACTAAAAAAACCACCCCAAATGAAAAAAGAGAGAAAAACAAGGAAGAGAAGTGAAAACGTATAACGCTACGGTGATTAAAGCAGATCATATACGTATTATTGCGACCGCAATTTCCATGAGTCGCAGGCAATTGCGAGGAGACACACCGCGTGACGCAACGCGGTCGCGAGTCGCATCGCGGATGAGCGAACTCGTGGGAAGCGGCTGGAAAGCGATCCTGTGTACGCCTCGCGGGTACACGGTAACGTCGGCGGCGTCGTCGTCGTCGTCGTCGTCGTTGTCGCGTCGGTGTGCGCGCGCGACGCGGCTGGCACACGGACGGAGATCGCGAAAGTTTATTATATTTTGCGGTTGTTCGCGCGCCCCGGTTGTGTGCACAGTCGCTTTTATGCAACCGAGCGACGCCGACGCCGCGCGCCATTGTTGGGCCCGTCTGTCACCGGCGGCGAGCATCGCATGAATTGCGGCCCTCTCGTCGCTCGCTTAAACTGGAGCAAGCGGCCGCCGTGCGATCTGCCGCGCCGCGCGAGCATGCAGCATCCGTGTTTAATTAGCGGGCCTCCGCGTAATTAGGCCTCACTCGCGGGGATTCGGAGGTGCCGATTGCGTCGTGGGAACTCCCCGCGTGCGAGAACGCTTCCCTTTCTTAATCGTACACGCGATCACGTGCTCGAGAGAGAGAAAGAGAGAGAGATTTCGATTGCAATATATATCCAGTCGTCGAGAAAAAAATGCTGAGGCTAGAAGAGGAGGATCGCGCACTCAAAAAAATGACAGCGTTATCAGTTAAATATCAGTAGCTATATACACAGTGCGACAAATAATTTTCCGGAATGATGCTATAAAAATGAAACGAATTGAGTTTTTATAATTTTCTCTTTTTCTTTATTGAAAATATTCTCCTGCTGATTCAATACACTTTTTGCAACAATTCAAATGACTGGTCCAGTTCATTTTGTAGTATTGCCCCCAAAAGCACGCGTCGAAGCTTGTTGAATTGTTTCCACATCTTTAAAATAGCTCACAATCAATTTTTGGCTAAAAATCAGGTTCGCGTATTGAATCATTCACCGTATTCGCCTGATTTAGCGCCATGTGACTTTTCTTTATTCCCCAAAATGAAAATAAAGTTGAAAGGATGCTATTTTGAAAATGTGGAAAAAAGTTTCGACGCGTGCTTTGGAGGCAATACCACAAAATGAACTGGAACAGTCATTTGAATCATTGTTGAATCGTTGCAAAAAGTGTATTAAATCAGGAGGAGAATATTTTGAATAAAGAGAAAACTGAAAAAACTTAATTCGTTTCATTTTTATAGCATTCCGGAAATTATTTGTCGCACTGTGTATAGTTTGAGAACTTTGCTGTCATTGTTAAAAGTTCACTGAAAAAAAGTAATCTTGCAATTATAGCGAGAATTATTTAGGTACGAAAAATTAGCTAAAACGGATAAGTGATTAGTAAGCACTACGATACCACATATGCTTTGTATTTAATCAATATATGTATAGATAATAGAGATAGAAATTCTGAACTATTTGTCAAATTTAGCAAGAAAGTTCCTCTATGACGTTTAATCGTCCAAACTCCAATCATGTTTGGTTATGAGACCTATATTTTCTTGTATATAATCTTAAAATATTGCTGCTATAAATTTTAGATATGACAGACAATTTTTTAGCAGAAAACAGCGTAATTTAAGTTAATATTTAGAATTCTGGCTGAAACAGCGAAACATTTCCCTGAGTGTTAGCTACTAAAGATAAAGTATATTTGTCGCGAGATACAATTTTATTAGCTAAAATAATAGCGCACATTTATAACAGGAGTAACTAAGAAAGTGAAGTAAGACAACGCGGAGAGAATGATTTTGCTGAAAAATTTAAAAGTTTTGCTGGATATTCCTCAATAGAATTATGTAGCTAAACGTGATTTGATTCTAGCAGCAAACATTTTTTTGCTGTAGCGCCAAAATTTTAACAACTAATAAAAATTTAGCTTCGGCAGTAACGATATTAGCTGTCCCTATTTTAAAGACACACATTAGGTGCCTGTAACGGCTACATCTTAGCTGCGTTGGCTAATCCTTTCTCTGCGTGCGGAAGAAGATAACTTTGGTGTTTCTTTTTTCTAACTTCTTTATGCGAAGAAACTATTAGTCTTTAAATTGTCAGGTGTGTACCTGCAGCCGCGTCGGTTAAATAAATTTTTATTCTCGCAAAGATAACGGAGATCGCTTGCCTGACGCCGCGCGTGTCACACTTTTGCAAAACCGTTGCCGCCGCGCTGCAGAAGAAGCTAATTCGCGTAAAATAACGTCTCGTCTTCGAAGTGCAGTTTCTTGCGTAAACACGGTCGTTTCGCCTCTCTCGCTGCGGGTACGAAACGATCGTAACGAACGGCGTCCCGAGGACGACGGTGAGCGGAATCCGTTAGATTCGCGATCGGCTGCAGGAAGTATCCTCCTATCGACGACGACGAGGTGGAGCGACCGACGACGCCGCGCGACGAGATTGCGATTATATTCAGCGATTACACCGCGTTGTCGCGGTCGTCGTCGCGGGCAGGAGAGCTCTTCCTGCGGTGAGCTAAATGTCTGACGTGGTTCCCCCTCTCCCCTCCGCCTCACCGCCCGGACGAGATATAGTCGATCCGCGACGATTATAACGGTTTATCAGGGAATCCGGACGCGTCACAACTCCGCGCGTGCACGTGTGCATGTGAATGCAGTACTACACGCAGGCGATCGTCTCCAAACGCGAGTCAGAAAACGTCAACGGCTGCACGCACCTGCATGTATGTACATACGTGTGTAGGTCGCGCGAACGTCGGTCGTCCTGCTCCTGCAGCCTTCAACACGTCCGTATAGCGAGTCGCGAGTCACGAAACCGGTAAAATCGGAATCGGAGCCGCCGCGGTGTGTCCTTCGATCGTCCCGTGCATGCGCGCTGCTCTCGAAAAGAGCTCCCCGTCGTCGTGCTCGGGCAATCAGAGACGTCAGAACCTGTTCGCTTCCTGCAGCGCGCGCGGGGCTGCTTTGCATTCGCTCGTTTCCTCGCGGAACGCGAAATGCGCGCGCGAACCCGATCGGTTCTCAGCTGCGATAAGAAGACCCTCTCGCGCGTGTTAAGACGTTATACCACGAGATATATACTTACGTGTCCTGTAACATACTTTACGGAACGTTATATGTACTGTTAAAATGCGCGAGATACGCGCGCCTCGAGTGCAAGGTCGGATCGGCAATATACGTGGGATGTTGAAATCGAATTGTTCCCCCTCCCCCACCCTCCCCCTCCCGCGGTCATTCAGACACGGATTTAAATGTCAAATTACGCGAATGATTCAGCAGAGGAAAGAATTCTCTGTACACACACTATTGGGTCTATTTATAAACCTGCCTAAGTGAGAGAAACGTATTACGAGTGGTATAGAGTGACAGTTTGTGAAGAAGCAAAGGCACACGCATTAACTGTGTAGCTACAATGCTAATCGTCGCGCGGACTAGTCATTAATCCTTTTAGAGGCGAGCGTTG